TGTGTCACATTTGGTTGAGAAATCTAGGTTCCCCGAGATATTTTACCTCCTTCTGCCTTGGTTATGAAAATAACCTTCCAGCTGCAAAAGTGGCTTTAACGACAGCAACACGCTGGGCCACCTTGAGCATCCTCTGTGTGTCTGTCTGAGACCGACCTCTGAAATGTCAGCCTCTGTGCTGGGGAGGGTGCAGGTGGGAAGACCAAGGACTTCTGAAGAGCACAAAATCCCTCGGGCAGAGCGGGAGGCACTTCTACCTCATGGCAGGGGCTGTGCGTGCCTGCAGCGCTTCAGGCATTGCTTGGGAGGACAGATGTGGCCAGCAGATTGAGGGAGGTTCCCCTCCCCCTCTACTCTGCCCTGGTGAGGCCACATCTGGAGTTCTGTGTCCAGTGCTGGGCTCCCCAGTTCCAGACAGACAGGGAACTACTGGAGAGAGACCAGTGGAGGGCTGCGAGGATGATGAGGGGGCCTGGAGCATCTCTGGTGTGAGGAAAGGCTGAGAGAGCTGGGGCTGGTTAGCCTGGAGAAGAGAAGACTTGGGAAGATTTGCTTATCAATATCTAAAGGGTGGGTGTCTAGAGGAAGGGGCCAGACTCTTCTCAGTGGTGCCCAGTGACAGGACACGGGGCAATGGGCACAAACTGGAACACACGAGGTTCCATCTCAATGTGAGGAAAAACTTCTTCCCTCTGAGAGTGACCGAGCACTGGGATGGGCTACCCGGAGAGGTTGTGGAGTCTCCTTCTCTGGAGAGATCCAAAACCTGCCTGGATGCGATCCTGTGCGACCTGCTCTGGGTGATCCTGCTCTAGCAGGGGGTTGGACTAGGTGATCTCCTGAGGTCCCTTCCAACCCCTGCCAGTCTGGGATTCTGTGATTCTGTGATTTCTGTGATTCTGTGACTTTGTGTCTGGAGTTGCCTTTTGCAGACTACTGCGCAGATTGTGACTTCTCGGTCACCTCCTGAGGGGAACTGCTCCCGCTTCAGATGGCATGTCACTTGTGCACTTATGCGGCTAACTAGAGATGAGTCTTGGCTCTTCTGCAGAGGGAGGTTTCATAGCTGGTCGGAGCCCGGGGATGTTTACCAGGCCTGACCTCGGTGCGAGGACGCGAGTTGCGCTGCTCCTCCGGGTCTCGGATGGGAAGCCGGGTTTGGAAGTAGGCTCCGCTTTAAATAACAAGGGGATCTGGAAAGGTTGAGAATGCAGATCCCACTTTAGATAGGACTCCTCCTTCATCGGGGGCAGGAGGAAAGCCTGCGTGCTGGTGTAATGATTAAGCATGAACAAAAATAATGCAGCTTGTTTTGGAACACAAAAAGCAAATGCCGTATCCATGGTGAAACCTGCCCTGTTGCAGCAGGGGCTGTCACCTCTCCAGCACGGGTTCCCGAGCCCGCTCAGTGTGGCACGGCTTGGGCTGGGCAAATCCAACCTCCCCCCCTGCCGCGGTCTCAGTGTACCACGTACAGGTGCCAGGCTGTCTCTGGGGGCTCCTCTGTGAGCAGGGGGGTAAAGAGCCTGGGTCAACCCGCTGCCTCTGGCCTGGCCACCTCCAGACCTCGGTCCCACTAGTGACCAGGCTCCCCGCAAGGGCTTTCCAGAGAAGTGGTGGAGCTGGAGGTCGCCCATTGCCTGTGCCCCCGCAGCCTGTGGTTTACCATTTCCCAGGCCCTTTTGGTGTAAAGGTGTATCAGACAATTTACAAGTGACGCTATGTAATTTTAAAAAAAACCCAACAACAAAAAACCTAACCCGAAACCCACATCCAGTCCTCTCCTTTTGGATGCGCTGTTTGAATTTCTTCAGCGAACTCATCCCACAGCTGTAGGCATATGCTCATTTTTTGCTGCAGTTATACAACCGAGGCTAAAATTAACACATCTGTTGTTGTTTAACTTCAATTTATATGGTACCCTGTTTTGCCAAAATATTATGTTTCGAGCAGCAACAACTTTACTGTTATGTATCATCGGAGTTCTGGGAATAATACTTAATACTACGTGCTATTTCTTAATAGCTCGTACCAAAGGGGGGACTTTGCCGAAGGACCCTCCTCTGTTCACGTGGTGTTGCACAGGCACAGGTTTATTTGATATTTCTGCTCATGGCCAAGTCCTCGAAATAATGTGGTTTCCTGGAACTGTGAAGTCCGGGGTTTCACCTCTCAGTTGTGGAGTCAAACTGGAATGGTGGGATCTCGGGGCTCAGGGAAGTCTGTAGTGTTACGGCTTTAACCCAGTCCAGCTTCTTTCTGAATGCCTAGAAAGGATGAAATGAGGACTTTTAAGATAGGATATCTATATATTTAGTCCAGGGAGTCCTTTATGAAAAGCAGTCATAAATACATATATAATTTTATTTTTTTATTTATTTATTTTAGTCTAAGGAGTCTTTTACCAAAAAACCTCAACCTTTTTGAAATGAAGGAAGCCGTACTCGGAAAGAATCTGCTTATCCGCCTTGAAAGCAGGATCCTGAGAGTTGCCAGGAGTAGTATCAAACACTTGATGTAGGAGGCAAAAAGCTATTGTGTTGGGGTTTTTTTAATCTGTTTATATTTGAGATGTTTTGTACTGTGCAGATTAGAGGGAAGAAAAAACACATCCAGGCACTAAAAGGAATAATTGTCAAGTTTACAGTATATAAATTGCTCTCAGCTAACAGAAGTTTTGCTCACCTTTCTTTTGTGCACAAGGTTTCAAAGGCAAGTGTTGTTATGTGTGGAATGGGCCAGGGAGGGGGACCAGAGCCCTTCTGATTTCACAGAAAAATAATTAAACTGGAGCTGCAGTCTGGCTTTGATCTCAGAGGTGCTTATAAGCTAAATAAAAATAAAAGACTACCTTGGGGACAGTCTGTGCCGTTAATTAACTAGCTAAATTCTGCCTCTGCTGTTCTCCAGTGGGTTTCCAGCAGCTTTGGCACTTGGCGTTGCAACTGGAAGTTGCCAAACACAACTTGGCACCTTCCAGCAGCAGAACAACCTCCTGAAGAGGGTGGGATATGTAAAATGGAGGTGTCCGGGGAGCGGGTGCTGAGAAAGAGCAGAAACCGGCTGTTCCCCGGCTGCTCGCAGCGGGCGCAGGAGGGATCCGGCTCCCCACCCTGCACCCCTCTGGTGATCTGCAGCTGCTGGCTGGGGTGCCGGCCGCCGTCCCTGGTCTGCAGCGAGCTTGGGCTCCTGCCAAGAAAACAGCTTTTGTGTTTCCTTAAATATTCTGCTGCCGTTTGGGAGAAAAAAAAAAAAAAACAAACCAACTGAATTGATATTATTACTAGAATTGGCCATGGCTGAATTTTTTTTTTTTTTTTTTTTTTCATTTTCATTAACAAATCCTGCCGGACGCCCTTTTCCCAATGAAGTAATGAGTGTGTTTTCAGACGAGGGGGTGAATCCGCCCGGCACTGCCACCGCTGATGCCTGGGCAGGCTGGGCAGCCAGCGAGGCAGGATGGAGGCGTCCCAGGCAGGCAGCCCTCTGGGTATCATCAGGGCACAAGTCGCCTGCCGGCATCCTTTTTTAGCCTGAACCCACAGAAACGTGGGGTGATGGGGGTGGGGGGTAGCTGGGAGTTGGTTATTGGAACATGCAATTAGTTGTTTTAGCATCCGCAGTGATAGCACAGCAAACGGATTGAGGAAATTTGCCCTTAATGTGATTAGATGTTTGTCTCTGCTCTAGCCGGCCTCGCGTCCTGGCGGGGCTGTCGTGCTGGCCCAGGCCTACCAGAGTGCCCGTACATCGGCGTTTCGTGCAGGAGACGGCAAAATGTACAGTGGCATCAGTCACATACAAACCCTTCAAGACATCCCCGAGCTTTGTAAATAAGTGATGGCTTCTAGACGTCGTTTTATTTCTCACTTCCTGGGTGCATTGACTGCAGTAACATATTTTTCTGGGACACAAGGCAGTGAAAGCTACTGCTTCGTTCTCCAGGTCCTCTAGAAACTCAAAACATGGTGGTGGTTGTGGGTTCTGTGGAAAAGCCTCCACTGCCCCAGCAGGCTTGTTCTGATCTTAAGGCATTGAAATTACTAAATTATGGTCGTGCTTTTGTTTCCATCACCCTGAACGATTCGCAGCTGCAGAGAAGTTGTCCTCAGTGAGTTGTTTTTAGAGTTGCGATGAATTCCTTTCTTCTGGGGAGAAAAATGTTGGGGGGTTTTTTCCAGGCTTAAGATTTACCTAAGGTGAGAGGTGTTTTGAGAGTTTAATTGGCATGCCTGTAGCAGCATTCCCAGCACATTTTGGGAGAAAAGTTGGCTAAAGTCAATTTTGTCTTAAACATTGGAGATAAGATAAAACTTTATAGCGTCTGCAACGGATCTCCAGTAAAAAATATTTGTGACGTTATTTTACTTGATATCAGTGATCAACAGCTGGTTTCCAAATCCTAAATTTGGTACATAGTAGGTACTAGCCCTTTTTACAAGCTGTTAGTAATCAGCTGCTCCTTAGGGCTGCCGCAGATGTGGGTATTTCAGACCCTTTTCAGTCCTTCCTTTGCCTGCCCCGTGCTGTCTGGGCAGGCGGTGAGGCCGTTGGGCCGGTGTGTGCCGATAGCCACGGCTGGTCGCCCCCCCCCCCCCTACCCTCGCACGTGTCTGCAGCCCGTGTTTTCCTTCTTCTTAGCTTTATCGGCCTGTGTGTTTTCAGATTACAACTTGCTTTTTGCTCCCATTTCTGGCACCTGTATGTCCACCCATCACTTGGGGCTAGTGTTCAGAAGAACATGCCAGCTCCCGGACCAGGTTCATGCAGGAGTGCAGGACACGGGGCAAGGGCCTCTCAAAAACCCTTTCTCCAAGAGCTTCCTGGCCTGATGCTCTGATCTACTCACCCGTTTCTTATTTCTTAACCAACGGTGAGATGGGTTCGATTTGTTCGGCTAAAAGTTGGGGTGCAGTGTAACCCCCGGTCTGCCTGCCGCCAAAATATTACGGACTCTGCTATCTTTGGGAAGTGTCCAGCACTGAACCTGTGTGTGGTAGCCAGGCTCCATCTCACATCTCTCTTCTCTCCTAGGTTTAGAAGAAAAAACGATTCTTTCCAAAAAAGAAAAGATGAAGCTGAGGAAGGAAAGATGGCTGCAGAGTAAGTACTCCTCCGAAGCACGGCAGTACCACGGCCATGGCAGAGCGCAGCTCTGGTGGGTCTCTCCATACCTGGGGTGCGGGTGGCAGTGCTGAGCAGTGCCGAGGGAGCCTGAACGCTGCTCAGAAACCTTCACAGGGATTAGAAGTCCCAGGTATCATTTCTCGGTGTTTAGCACTGAGATTCAGTCATTGCCCCAAACCTACTATTGATCTTCCTCCACGTGTGATGTAAGTGACTACATAAAACCTTATCTATCCAGATTGGACACTGTGCCCATGTAGGTTTAGCATGTTTATCTGTTAAAGCTCTGGTACAAATGGGACGAGCTGTATAGCAGAGCTTCTCCTCCCCGAGGAGGAAGGCATGGCAGCTGGAGCTGAGCCCCACGCAACCACCAGCTAATGCCCAGAGGTGGAAGCCTGCAGGCCCTCCTGCCCGTCAGGCAGGGGCGTCTCTGGGCGCTGCTGGTTGTGTCCCTGCTCTTTCCCATGTGCCACCAGTCAGTGAACCCGCTCACCAGACAGTCTGGGCTTTCTTGAGGCTGTGAAATACGAGCTAAACAAAACCAGCCCATGGCAGAAATGCTTCTGTTTCCTGCGGGAAGTGTCTGTATTTTTGCTTCGAGTGGCTCAGTGCGGTAAGAGGCTATGCTGTCCTGCTTGGGGATGCCTTTTGCCACCTGGAGCTGTTCCTGGGACAGGCTTTTCCCTTAACACCTTCTTGCCCAGCAGAGATGTGACAGGCTGTGTTTGAGGCTGAGGGATGGGCCTTTCTGCCGCACCACATGCTCTCTGCTCCTGAGCTCAGGTCCATCAACCCATGATTTCACCAGTCACAGAAAAGGTGTCTCTGGCTCCTCTTACATAAAAAGCTGATAATTTAACACTGTGACTGTGAAGGAAACCTCCTCCTTGTCACCAACCAACAACTTCCAAGTGCCTTTGGCATCTGCAACCCTCGGTGTCCCTGTTGGGCACAAAGGTGGCTGCGCTAGTCCTGACGTCTGGCGTGCCGGCTGCAATCTTGGTGCTCCTAAAGATCTCTCCTTGTCTGATACCGTTGTGGGGAGAGAGGAGGGGACTGCTGGAGCACAGCTGAGCTTTCCTTCCCCTGATACCAGGACTGGTACCAGGTGCCATGGAGAAAGGCACGTCCTCAGCACCATTTTGTGACAGCATCCACAGCAAAAGGGGTACACGGGACTCGTGTCTTCTGCAAGAAATAGAAGGCATGCTCCTGCAGTTAGGTGACAGCACCACTCCCATGGTCAAGGTCAGCCACTTTGGAAAAGCCCAGGAGCAGGATCCCTACACTCTCTTAATCCTGTCCTCCTGCACGTACGCCTTTGTGGCATCAGTCTTTCTCAAGATCACGTATGTTATTTTGGCCCTGCTGTGGCGTCTTTCCTCCACTCTTGGCTCTGAAATTACTGAGTTGAGCAAATACAAATGAAATGCAAAGGATTTACTTTGAGGAGAACACCAAGATAGAAAACTTAGACTAAATTATCTCTGTCTTAGAAGATACTAGGTATTAGAAGATACAGAAGTACCTAAATTGCTGGCTGTCTTGACTCCCCCACTAACCTTGGGGCCAGTTGGCAAACGCCAGCATTCCCTAGCAAATGCTTTGGGGAGTACTTGGGGATTTCTGTAAGAAAAGTCACAAGTGTTAGTACCGGGTGTGCAGCTTGTTATTGAGAAAAATGGAATAGCTGGAAAGAGCCTATATAAACAGCAATAAAGAAACTGATACTATTATTATTAGCTAATGGAGCAAAATGAAGTGGTATTTCCAGAGATGGCGATTTATAAATGAAACTTGACATTCTAACGTTGTGACCTCAAAGAGCTCCAGTCAACTGAAACACATTGATTTTTAGCTGATGCCGATAACTCCGCCGATTCTTTGTGGGTTTTGCAGTCCTTGCCTGCTCCCCTCAGCCCCAAAAGAGATCCCAGCTTGGACTGCCGAAGTTGTTATCATTACATCGCTGTTTTCCTAAATCTTCCCAAGAGTTTGTTGTTTCTTCTTGTCCCAGGGCTGCTTTTGTGACACTGGATGCCAAGACCCTGGGAAATGAAGTTCAGCTCAGTAGTGCAAGCGCAAAACTTGGAGATTTCTTCCATTCCTATAAATCATCTCATGAGAGACTAGAGAGGGAAAAAAATTACACAATGCTTCAGACATTAGAAGTATGCACATTTAAAAATACATATATTGCATGGCTCCTCAGACGAACAAGACTTCATAGGAAAAGAATTTGGGATGTTTGCGCAGAATCAGGTGTCTGAAAATTTTGAGCACATACTGTTTATGAAAGCACTGAAGTAGTCAGCTTCATAAAGCCAGACCAAAAAAAGAAGTGATGCAGAACAGAAAGCTGTGTTCTTGGCAGGGATTGCTGTGAGGAGAAGCGTTTACAATCCAGATTTGTCACAAACATCCATTTACAGCAAAATTGCAGTTCATGAAATATTGTTGCTCTTCGACTCAGCTGAGTTGGGGAGGGAACAAGACAAAGATATTAAAGGAGGCAGCAGGATTAGACCCAGAACTGCAGGTGGCATCTTGCCTGTAAGTGGGCCTGGCTGCTTTCGTGTTCCCACGAAAAGTACTTGTACTGATTTAGTCCTGTTTCTGTGGCCGTGCTGCGCTGGAAGCTGCTGGCCTCCCTGTGTCGCCAGCTTGGCCCTGCGGCCGCTGGCACTGCCTCCGTCACCTCCAGACAAGGAGTTTCTAGCTCAGCGCTCAGGCTCGTCCTTGCAATACGCTCGTTGTCCAAGGCAATATGGAGAAGCCTTCTCTTCCACCATCGCCTCCGCTGGGTGCACGTGGAGGAGGTGGAGTCCTCCATCGTGTACCCTGCGGCACTGGTACCCCTGGGGGTTTCAAGGCAATGCAGCAGGTTTCTGGGCCCGGAGATCACCTGGCAGAAGGAAAAGGAGCTCATGGATCCCGCTGAGCTCTGGCTGTTTCTGGTGGCATCGTCAAGGGACCTCTGGGACAGATTGGGGCATCTTGGAGCTCGGCTGGAGGCTTGTAGCAGTGCTGGGCTTTGGTGGGCTGTCCTGGAGAGGAACACGTTCTGCTGGGGCTCTCCCTGGAGGCTGCTGGCTCTGCAAGGCTTGGGCAGCTGCGGGACTTATTTCTACACCAGGAAGCCTCGAGGGCTGGGGCGGAGGCCCGCAGCTTTCAACGCCCACCTCTCAGGGCCGAGAAGGGAGACTGCCGTAACGTTTGTAGAGCCTTATGTGCCTACAGCCTTGCCGAGAGCTGCTGCAGGGAGGCTGGTGAACGTGGTCTGGAGGAAAAGCCAGCTGCCTCTGTGTCAGCCACTTGGTGCGGTGCTTTTCCAAGGGCCCAGTTCGTCCAGCATCTGACTGCTTGAGCTCTGCTGTGAGTCATGAAGGTGAGGCCTTGACTTGCTCCAAACTAAATAAACAACTGAAATTAAGTCCATCTTTTTTGTCTGTGCTAGGAGACCATTGTTTTGTCCCAACAGCAAAGCAGAGATGGGGCTATGACTGTTTAATGCCACATGCGGAGCTGACTGTATTTGGTTTGTCCCTTCCCCTCTTGTTTCTCTCTCCCAATGCCGTGCAAGGTCAGTGTGGTTTTTCCCACCCCAGGACTCCTGTGATGTGTTGCTGTGAGCAAAGAACAGTCTCACGCGCTGTGGTGCAGGGGATGGAAACAGTTCAGACAAAATCAGTCTGGGGATTTCACTTCCCGGTGCAAACCTCCGTAGGGATGTATATAGTTATAAGCAAACACAGCGAGGGAGGGAACTACCCTGCTCCGTTATTTTCAGCCTTTCCCTGCTTTAAATCACTTCTGGCCTGTTGTTCCTGCAGATGCTGAAGCAGCCTGTGAATTTCTTAGCTCAAGGGTTGCAAACGCTTCCCCTTCCTCCAGTGATGTCTTGTTTCTGATTCAGAAATAGAAAGCGTGAAGCTAGCCAAGCAGAAGCAAAAAGCCGAAGCAAAGCGGAAAGCAACACCTGTGGTGGGAGACATGCAGCCATTGATGGAAGCCCTGCCCGAGCTCTCCGACCTGACCACAGGCAGCAGGGGCAGGAAGCCACCCCGGAGGTACGTGGCCTTAGGGATAGGCTCTGTATTTCCCTTCCTCCTGCAGGATGAGGTGCCTTTCAGCTCAGCTTGTAGCTGCAGGCAATGCAAGCTGGGTGCCAGTGGTCAGGAGAACAGGGTTCATTCTCAATGCCATTTCACCCCTTTCCATGCTTCACTCCCCGCAAAGAAAACCCAAACTTAAATGTGCCTTCTGAATCCACAGCTAAGAGGGGAACGGTATTGCTCAGATGAGGTTTGGCATGAGATGGGGTGGGAGCAACCAGATGTCCTGGGAGTTGCAGGAGTGACACACATTTGTCCGGAGTGAATTGCTGCTAAGCTCACCTGAGAATCTGGACTTCAGGTTTGTTTTTTATGATGAAAATTGTCCTCAACATCACTATCAGCAAATGGTGTTTGACTCCATAAGAGAAATCCACTCTCTTCTAGCAGGTTATATCTGCAGCTTTCAAAGGGGACAAATTCTTTCATTGCAAGTGGCGAAGACTGGGACGATGGCTTGCCCAAATTCACGCAGCTCTGGGGTGACAAGGGGGAGTGGATCTGGAGAGCCAGGGTCCAGAGCGCAGTGCTGCCTGCTAGGAATTTTGACTCCCTTCCCACATGAGCCTCTGGCCATGTCAGCCGGCCGTTCTGTCCTTCCAGACTTCTCAGGCTTTCTCCTGAGGCAGTTCAAGCCCTTTGAGCAGAGCTATACGCTCTGGCCAGACTCTTTGTTCACCCCATTGGCTTGGAATGTGCCTTTGGACAAAAGCAGAAAGATGGTGTTTCCATTCCCTTTACTGCACTGAAAGAGAAGGGCTGTTTCTGATCCTCTGACATCCACATGTCAACCATCCCAGCCAGCCCTAGGGTGGGTTCTGGTTGCCCTTATGTTTTCTCATTTTAATGCATTGCTCTGCCTGACCATCTGGTCGGTGTTGCAGCTGCTTTTGCATCCCTCAGTGCATTATAAAAGTGCTCTGCGTGCTGCACAAACACTTATCCCTCCTCTGCAGTTGCTCAGTGGAGCAACTTGCTCAGTTGGAGCTAGAAACTTGTTTTGACCGTAATAAGAAAGCATTTGGATTAGAGAGCAGCCAAAAAGGCGGCTGTCTGGCAAAGCACCCTCCTCTTTGGTTGCAGATCAAGGCTGGAGATACCATGAACCCTCTTGTGACTTGCTGGATGCCCCAGAAATAAACTCTGACCCAGGTGGGACATCCGCCTACAGAGCATGGCTGAGTTGGCAGTTCCCTGTGCTTCTGGAGAGCCACTTGTCAGACAAACAGCAGCTATGAACCTTGCATCTCAGGAAATGGAAAATATTTTGTTCCTTTACTTGGCTTCTAATTCTTTGAATAGCATTTTTTCCTCTTTTTTTTTTCTTTATGCAGCCATTCAGTCAGCCTGCCCTCTCTTTCAGTGGGAATGACCAGCAAAAGTACACACAGTGTTTCAAGTCTTGCAGAGCGCTGAGGGTTGGTTGGATGGAGCTCTGGGCCAGGGCTCAGCCTGAGCCTGAATAGGTGGCTTTGCCCTCTTTCTGTGACGCTGTGCCACAACCATGCGTGGCATCCGGGTTGTGTTCAGGAGTCGTTCCCCCTAATCGTTTTCCCCCAGCCCCCTTGGTGGCCGAGCCCCCGCTGTCCAGGAGAGCGGCTTGCAGAAAGTACGTATAGGGAAGGGAGGACAGGTAGGGTGCTTCCTCTGGGGATTGCTTGCCCGGCTGGCTACAAATACACGGCGTCGCTGCTGCCTGCAGTTCTGGACTAGCTGAAGATAGAGTAGAACTGGAAAAGGCTCAGAGCTGGCTGACAAGGATGACGGTGAAGGGTCTGTGGCAGCTTCTGTGCAAGGGGTGGCTAAGTGAGCTGGGGAGCACTCAGCCTGGACAGGAGACAGAGGCAAAGAGGCTTGGGAATGTAATTCTTTGTAAAATCAAGTGTGATGTGGTTACGAGGTAGTTCATCTTCTTTTCCAGTATGAGAAATAGAGACATCAAGCATAGCTAGTGAGTGTCCGGTTCAGCGCTAGCAGGAGGCTCACTGCTCTGCCCAGCTCCTTGCCGCAGGATGTCATGGCTGAGGGAAGCCTGTGGGTTCAGGTGAGACCTGACAAATCCAGTGAGGAGATCTCCTTGGAGGGTTACGGCATGTTTATAGACTGCAGCTGGCACGAGGTCTCTGAGCTGCAAATCCTGGCGAGGACATGGCTATACACTTGCCTTGGTCTGGCTCCTCTCTGGCCACCCTCTCTGGCTGCGTTGGGGCAGAACACTGCCCAAAATGGTCCTTCAGCGGACTCACCGCAATCGCTCTTCTCTTCTGTAGTACATTTCATAGCAGAGGAAGCGTGCCACACGTGGAAGCGTTTGGTGGTCTTGCATGCATCTCTAGGCTGACATCCTCAGAGAAGTGCTGTCCGCGCCCTCTCTACCCAAACCCAGACCTGCTGTGGGAGCATGGCAGCTCTTCTCTCCTTCTGGAAGCCTGAGCTCATACTCTGGCTCTGTTTTCACTTTGACTGCCAGGCTCTGGTGTCTGTAAAGCCCAGTGGGGCTGTGGCACAGCAGGGTAGAGAAGCCCAACCCTGGCTGAGAATTTCAGGACGTGCAGTCGGCACAGCAGAGGTGGGAGCTTGTCATTGACTGATGTTGCCCAGGTGTCCTTGGACTTGCCAGCCAAAAAGCAGAGTCCCTTGGTGCTGGCGTGGAGGAGCTACAGTGCTCTTCTTCCCTGTGCTGGCTTGTGACTTCGTGGACTGCATGAGGACGTGTGTGCATAAGTGTTTGAAAGAATCAGGGGAGGCTTTTATAGGATTTGAATCATTACATAAATGAAGGGTAATACTCTGGTGATTTGTCAGCGTTATTAATAAAAGATTAGATTCTCCAGGAATTTGATCTCCTGCTGGGTAAGAGAGCATTACAGTGAGGTTTTTATTCTGTTTTATAATGAATGAAGGCAATGAAGTGTAATGAAACAGGGCTGCTAACATGGTCCAAGTGAGCAGGCAGTGTGCTGGTGGTTTGGTGGAGGAGATTCACGCAGCAGCCAGACCGGTGGGGCAGAGCTGTTGAGTGGAACTGAAAAGCCTTCAGAAGCACCCAGCCCTTTAAAATAGTGGGGTGTCTGAAGGCTAAAGTGGGCTTGCACAGCCTGGAGTGCCCCGCAGAGGAAGCTGTCCCCAGAGGCACGTGGTCTGGGATGGCCCAGGACGGGTGTACTCCGTCATCACCCTCTGCAGAGCTGCTCATCTTTGAAGGGACTGCCGTGGTGACTTGGTGGCACGCTTGGCAAGCCCCTGCTCTGGTGGGGTGCCAACCAACTTGAGGAGACATTCTCTGTTCTGCTGTGAGCGATCCAGGCAACCTCAGACAAGAAATTGTTCCTGTGCCGAGCAGTTAACGGCCGTGAAGAGAGCAGAGATGCTTCCTGCTCTTTCTGCACCTTGCCGTGCCCGTGGATGTGGCAGTGTGACGTGAGCTGCTCGAACCCCTGTAGCTGTTTGTTTGCTCTTGCTGATGGCCGTTCCTCATGAGCTCGCGGGCCTGTTGTGTAACGCCTGCAGTGCCGGGGTGACCTCGGGAGGGACTGCAGGGTACAGGAGCAGCGCGCAGGCATTGATCTGCCTGGCTGCCGGTTCCTCACGGGCTCTGTACCGCAGAGGCTGGCTGCCATACATCCACGCTGTTTGGGTTTGTCTGGGTTGGCAGGGAGCTTTGGCGCTGGGGCAGAGGGTAACTCGGATGGGGTTGGGGCAGTGGTGAGAGCAGCCCTCAGCAGCCTGGGGACCTCAGGAGGGAGGACCTTGAGGAAAAATAAAATGGGGCAGAATGGGGAGAGGGAGAGATGAGGAAAAGGAGCAGGAGCTGATCGAGTGGAGAGGGATGATGAAAGTGAGTGGGGTGAGGGAATATGGGGCAAGGGAGGAGGAAGACAGGAAGCATGAGGAAAACCAGTGCAGAATAAAAGGATGGAGGGTAGTGGGTCAGAGAGGGAAATAGGAGGAGGATGTCACTGTAACACTGCCAACAAAAGACCAGATCTGTCTTGAAGAGAAGGTGAGGGGCTGTCGTGTTTCCTTGAGAACACTGAAGGGCTCAGGGGCAGATGAGGTGGGGGAGGCCCTGGCCCCCCGCGCCCACCAGTACCCAGAGGTTCCTCCTCAAGCCCTGCCCCAGCAGAGGGGTGGGCAGCAGACCCTCCTCCCCCAGGGTGAATCGGGGCGGGGCGGGGGGAGCTTCTCTGCGGAGGTAAACCCTCTTCCCCACTTGCTTCTCCTGTTTCCCTCTGTAGCTGTGTAATTCTGAGGAATGGAAGTTTCTGCTCCTTAATGTCCAGTTCTACCAGCAACTCACTCCCCTTGTGCACTTCAAGTCCCAAAAGCTGTCGCTGCCCTTCCTGCGTGTCCCCGGCTTGGGCTCAGCACTTGGCTTTGTGGTAAACCTCTGCCCCAGCTTGGCGCCAGGCACCATGTGCTTCCAGCATTCTGCGCAGGATGGGGCTACGCTTCTGGTCTCCTTGGACTTTGCCCAGGAATCAGAAATGGTTGCCGAGAGCGCAGATCTGTGCTTGCCGCTGTGTCTTGGCTGCACGTAGTGCACCAGCCTGCGTTCCCCTGAGTCCATCTTCTTGCAACTTCATGGGTTCTCAAAGCTGACGCTCTGTTGCTGTGCTTTCTCTTTAGCTAATCTGTTTGCAGCTGACTTAAACCAGCAAGCCTTTGGCAAGGGAGAAAAGACTGTTGCCATTCTTTGTATTAAAATATAAATGACACCTCAGAGCCCAGCAGTCCCACTGCAGGACTCGAAGCAGGGCTGGCGGTCCCCTCTTCTTGCTGAGTAACCATAACGGATGCCTGCCGCTGCTGGAGCTCGGCAGCGTTAGCAAGGACCACGAGATGTGCAGAGGTGATGTGTGCCCGGTGCTGAGGGGAGGTTCGATGGGATCTTTTCTCTAAGCAGCAGTATCAGTTTGACCCAGAGGTTAGTGATAAGCAGAAAGTGATCTGGGCATGGACAGCTTGTGACCAGTTCTAGAATTAAATGATCCAATTTTTCTTTAGTGCATTTACCTCCGGCCCATGCAGTCCTGACTCCTGAGCTGTTGTCAGCATGTGGCGGAAGGAGTTTGCATCTCCATTACTGTCTGGCTATGGAAATAATTGCCTTTCAGGACAATTTCCACACAGGACAATTACCTATACTTTCTGGGAAGGCAGATGCAGAATCCCTGGACCCTTTCAATTGCCACAGCAATTGCTAAATTACCGCTGCTGTGTAATGCTTGCTCACTTTTGTTTCTTCTCTCTGCAGCCGTGTAAAAGCAAAGGCAGAACCGGCAGACTTCTGTCTGATGAAACAGGCCCAGAAACACCAGCTCTTGTAAGTACCCAGGTATCAGGGTGTCCAGTCCCTGCAGAGCATCAAGCAGGGTCACCTAGAGCTGGTTGCCCAGGACCATGTCCACGTAGCTTTTGAGTATCTCCAAGGATAGAGATCACGCAACCTCTCTAAGCAACCAGTTCCAGTGTTTCAGTCTTTCACACCCAAAGGCCCTAGAAGAGGTGGCGGCCTTGATTCTCCCCTTTACATAGTGCAGGATGTTTGTGGTGTCCTTCTGCTTTGACTGTATCAGACTCTGTCAATTCTAAATGGATTCAGTCTGCTTCTGCTTCTGTCTCATGTAAAATCTAAGCAAAGAGAGCTGATGCCCTTCAGGAAAGCCTCCTGTGGTTGTGTAGGCAAGGAGCTTCTGGAGCTCTGCGTAGCATCAGGAGCTTCAGCAGCTCCATTGGAACACCTCTGGAATGCTAACTTACCTGCCGTACATCCCTTAGGAGGACAGCTGTCCATTGGTATCTGCCAAACCTTTTCTTGTAAAACGAAGCTTTTGAATAATTCTTGGACTTGGTTAAGGGTCTGGAACTCCTTATTCCTCTGTAGAATCTGTCAGATATTTTATACTGCCACTAGACATCAAGAGCTTAATTTCCCCTCAGCACAGCTCTCCTGGCTAGGCACTGTGATCTCGCAGTGTTTGCTTTCTGTGATCCCTGTTCCAGGATTTCTGTCAGTTCTGAGACGTTCAACTTCAGCCTGATGCCAAGGAGAACGGTCAGTCTACAGCTCCCAGCCCCGCTCTCCAGCACAGGCTGTGAATACCCTTCTCTGTCTGAAGCTGGCCAGTGCCAGTGCTGGGATCCCTTTCTTGCTCAGTTCTGCCTTTCTGGATGAGTCCCTCCTTGGCTCATTGCAGGAGCCCGAGGGTCATGGCCTCGAGTGCCACCAGTGCGCATTGCGTTGTGCTCATAGGTGAGGAACACTGCTTGAGGAGGAATTTGTATACAGATCTAAGTCCTGATAGGCAACAATCTCCTGTGTCAGCACACCGGTGACCCCCCGTTTGCCCCCCTCTTCTCTGCACAAAACTGGACGGATGCACTGAGTAGTGGCGTGTATCCTCCCGTAGCAGTCTGGGAAGGCTGTGCTTCCTGGGAGGCAAAAGAGTTGGAGGAAGGTCTTGGAGGTTTATTTTCCAGGACGTTAGTCCTGGAGGTTCCCTAAGCCTCACCCCATTGCCCCAGCTGCCACAAGCTTCAGGTTTGGCTTCCCTCTCTGTTCCTCTGCAGGGGCAGGGCTGGTGTGGAGGGGAAGGGCCCTGCTAGGGAGGGAACCATGCTGCGAGCTGAAGAGCTCTCTGCTGATCCACGGCAACTACTGAGAGCGTGGAGATGTGTGCCTGGCTGGGCTGAGGAGAGCCTGGCAGTCTGTCTGAGGGAGGTTGCAATGGATGTGACTGCTGTGAAAACTCACTTTTCTTTTTTTTTTTTTTTTTAACACTCCTCCTGCTCTGTTCTTCTTCTTCCCTGCTTGCTTACTTTTTAAGACAAGACCATTTCCACAGCAACCAGCTGTGACCAAGCATGCAAAGGTTATTCTGCCATGCTCCTCCCAGGGTGTTTAACTAGTGTTGCACACAGGATTACCGAGTCTCTACATTGAGCAATAAAGAGGGTCCGTAGATGAGCTCTCGAAAGCAGAATCTGCTTTTGTGCTAGTGCACTCTGAAGTAGTTCTCATTCGTAGTGATTTACCAGATACCCACAGTCTCTTGTTCCTGATTTACTAGGGAAAAGCTCTAAAAAAACCCCACCCTTCCAAGTGATGCTGGACACTAACGTGATTGTTTCTGTCTCTGTGGCACGAGATCAAGTCTCTGGCTCCCGTGAGCTGGCAGCAATTTGAGCTTTGCCCTTGGGTAAATTAGGTTTATTTCTCGCACTTCTTTCTGAGGTTTACACCCAGGATCATTCTGTCTGTACCGAAACCCGCTGCTTTACGAGTTCTTGTCTGCCGAGTTCCTTTTGTGTGAAGCACTTAGCATTTGTGTGTTATTTTTCTTTCCTCAGAGAGGAGGAAGTGGCTCGGTTTCATGAGGTCATCGCCAATCCCAGGTACAGAGCCAATCCCCTCATGGCCATCAGTGAGCATCTCTCCAAGAGGCTGAGGCAGGAGGAAGGCGGCAAACCCCTCTAGGGTGTCAGCTGGGACCAAACACGCACACTAGAGCGGGTGCGAGGGCTCCAGGCTGCGAAGGAGCACATCGCTAACACGACCTCTCAGCCACTTCAGTCCTTGGAAGCGGTTCAAAAAACCCAGCAGTCTGGTTTTCTGTCTGCAGGAATGATGCAGTTCTCTCCTGACAGTGGCAGCTGCTCCTTGGCAAGCAGCCTGCAGAGAGCAGGGCGTTCTGTGCGATCTTTATGCAGACATTAAGCTCCCTGCGAAGTGTCTTGACACCTTTTCTCTTCTCGTGAGCAGGCACAATTTAAGAATTGTGCCAGTGGCAATGTATCTGTTTTCTGTCATTTCCCTCCCCTTTCTGACAGCTCTGAAAAGAGATTCCCTGTTGCTCTGTTGAGATGGTTCACGACCCCGTGCCCTGAAGCCTAGAAGGCTGTTGTGGATCTGCGTAAGGACTGATGCTGCTGTGCAGAGATGTTGTTTTATGTGAAAAATTTAGCTTTGGAATAAACACACTTTCACGCAGTACTGAGATTTTCTGGCTCTTGCTTTGGTAAATACTAATCGAGATATGAGCTCATCACACCACTGGAAAAACAACGTATAAGAATGGGTTTTTCCATGTGTACAGTGAAACACTAGGCAGTGAAGCACGTGAAATCATTGCAGATCACATCTAACTCATAGCCTTGCCTTCCTCCTGCCCTGGAAGTGTGTGCTTCCCGGGGGCAATGCTCATCCCTTCAGGCCCATGTCGTGTTCCCTGCTTGGCCTGCCCTATGGAAGTGTCCCAAAATGTGTCCTGGCTACTGGCTGGGAGCTTCAGCTGGTCATTTACAGGTTTGGGAACTGCTGCAGCGGGGGGGGGGCCTTTCCTTCTACCAAACACCAGTTTTCACAAAAAAACCAATGAATTTTCGTGGGGACAACTGAAGGCAGGGTGTTCTCTCTTTGAGATGATTCCATTTTCACACCCCAAAACGTCAGTGCTGTTTTTTGAACCATACAAAAAGTTTTCTGACGCTTCTTAAGAAAACCAGCCTGCCTATGTCAGGTCAGTCCTGAGGAGCACCTGAAACCTTTAAGAAAGAAGTTCACTCTGATGCCCAGACAGAACAGAAGCTGCAGCTGACTCTCACCCAAGTCAGTGCCCAAAACCAGCTGCAACGGGAGCGGCAGGGACCCTGATCGTGCCTGTCTCTTGCGTCACTTAGTAATGCTGCTTTTCTTCTCCCTCTAGGCTGGCACTGTTGAACAAAGGGACCCAGGCTCTGGAAAGCAGAGGGCTGTGGTGGGGTCAGACAACTCAAAATATCCCCATCTCCCAGCTGTTTCCTGCTGGCTCTCTTACCAGTGTCCGACTGTGTTTCTTTTAGGCCATGTTGGATTTCGAGCTCTGAACGCCAGCATTCCCTGCTCCTGTTATCCAGGCTGGGCACTGAATCGGAGAGCTGCAGCAACTGCTCCTGCTGCTCGTGCCTCCCAACAGCCCAAGATATGACTAAGACTTGGACCAAGCTAAGGTTTTTGGGGTGGTTTTCTCTGTAAGCCTCCTGTTTACCCTTTCCTCCATCTCGTAGCTAGCTGCCTCCTGAGAAAGGTGCCATCCTTGTGCTTAAACGGAGGGAAGGGGAGAGATGAAGGAGGTGAAGACATCCAAGTACAAAGGAGGACAAAGGTTGCTCCTCTTGTCAGTGAACAGGGCACTCGGGGGGATGGAGAAGTGTATCTGCAGGGCAGGAGGGACAGAAGGCAGCTTGCATGGCATGCTGGAGGACTTCTGTTGTTTGTCTTTGGTACTTTGCAGGAGCTTTGCGGCTTTCGTTTTGTCTGGTGGTTTTTATACGATACGTGACATACGAGGAGAGCCCTGGCCTCCATGTACGTCTGGGTTGTGCAGTAGCCAAGCTGTGCCCTCGCTTTCCCCTCGCAGCAGCAGCGGTGGTGAGTTGCTCCTGTGCCATCACAAATCGGTGCGATAGCTGAGGGAAGCCACAGGCGAGTTTATGAAATGCCTCCTGGGTTGTGGCGCTGCGGGGGCGGGGGTCGTATCCCTCCCCTTGGAGATGCCTGTGGTGCATCATGGCTCTGCTTTGCAGAGATCCAGTGGGAGCGGTGATTTCATCTGACAAGCACCAATTTCCTGGGCACCATCTATTTGGCACAGAGCAAAACGATCCTTTAAAGCCCCCGGAAGGTTAGTTGGATTGTCCCATGCACCTCCGTTCCAGACCAGTTTCTTCTTAGTAATTTCTCCCTAGGGTGAAAGAAATATCTGAAAGGTTTTAAATTCCTCTCTTCCCAGCCTACTCAGTTTTCTTTTCACAGGCGGTTCTGAGTAACAGAGTTGAAGCAATGCTTGGATGGCCTGAACTGCAACGTGAGGGAAAATCCTCAGCCGGCAGAAGGACTACGTATAGATGGGTACCAGGGTAGATGTTGCTGTGGGTCACGTGCCAAGAGAGAGATGCCTTCTATCTCCAAAAGAGTGAAGCCTGACAGACTGCATCCTTTTCTCATCCTGTGCAGTTTTTTTCTAAGAGGCCCTGCAGTTTGGACCTGGCATGGAAAAGGGATTTGCGTGTGCAAAACCAGCTCTGAGCACTTTGGAGCCCCAAAAAGCATCACCAGGGCGAAGGGCTCTGTGGTCTGTGTAGCTCTTCCAAGGTGGCATCAAGACGGGGGCTTCCCAGTGCTAACTGTGGTGGTGATGGCCAGTGCTGGGCACTTGGCAATATGGACACCACCAGCGCAGCCGTCCAGCACTTCTCAGCCCAGTTGCTGGTCCCATCCTTTCCCTCCAGACCACTGGGAGCCGACAGAGCTGAAGCCTCGTTACCCGGGAAGCGAAGCGGTGACTGACCAGGCGGAGGCGTTGGGCCAGATCGCCCCCTCCGTACTGCCTGGCAGCGGTACCCACGCTGGTGGCCCTCCATCTCCGTGCACAGCATCCCCTGTGGCACACTCACACCTTGTCTTTACCTCGGATGGGCCGATGCCATCGCTTGGCTGCGTGTCTCGCTCTTAGCCCACTGTTTGAAAATGTTGGTCTCCTGGGTGTTTAGCAGCAGTTAAACATGTGACTGTTTGAAACTACAGTTCACAGCCTGCTGCTGCCGGCATCTCCTGCCCCCGCCATCCTAGCAATTGAGCAAAGGACTTAAAATCTGCCAGGAAACAGGCGTCTGAGACACAGAGTCGCCTTTGCAGTTGGCATGTTTTCAGGATGATAAAAGCTTTCACACCAATTTTTTTTAAAATTTTTTTTTTTTTTTTCGATAGCGGAGTAGGAAAAAAATAGCTTCCAAGCTGTAAGGAGTAGTTGTGCTGGAGGGGAGGGCGGGGGCCCCACCCAGCAGCTCTAGACTTAGCAAGAAGTGAGTAAGCGGGGAATGCACTGAGAAGTCAGGACTGGAAAAATATGGGGCTACTTTTCACGGCTGTTTTCTTTCTTGTTGGTGATTTTGCCCTTAAAGGCTGTTCACAGAACCATGTCTGAAAGCAGAAGCCAGGGTATCCTGTCCATCTGGTGCTACTGGTGGTTATTTTCTGCTACACACAAAGCACCCAAAGTGGTGGGTGGAAGGGAATTCTCCTTTGCCAGCAGCTCCTGGGTAGCATCTTTGGTTGGCAGGTTGCAAAGGGATATTTTTTTATAGCAGCTCTTGCAACTCCCGTGTTTCGCCCCAGTACCAGCAATGGCCCATCGTGCTTTGTTTCTGCTGGAGCGGGGGTTGCATCGGGCCAGCAGCATGTCTCAGAAACGTGTGGTGAGTCACACGGACCTGGCCCCGACCCTTCGTCTAACCCAAGGAAGTCCCTAGTGCGAGTACGTAGACTCCCTCCTCCTTCCTTCCTCTTTCTGGCTTGTCTGCCCTGCAGAGTTTTCCTTACAGACCTTGTGCAAGCGAGTTCCCCCCATCCCCTTTGCGTATGGAAAGTATGACTTATGCCGGGTAGAGAGTACTTTTGCTTATGCTCTCGTTGAAGCTATGAGCCACATTCGCCCTATGGCTTGCTTTTTTTCCTAGAGCTAAGCATGTGTGATGGCTTTGGGCAGCACAACACCCGCCAGCTCCGGCACTGAGGAACATGCCTGGTACTGCCGGGATGGAGCTGGCCGCCTCTGCCTTCCTGGTAAATACATCTGTAATGGACTGCAAACCCCAGCTAATCCACGCTGCTTTAGTTGAACTGGCTTTGTTAGTAAATGCTCTGGGCTGGCGCATGGGGCTGGCATAGAGAGATCAAGGGCAGTATCATCGTTGCAGGGTACAGGCAGGACAGCATTGGTAGGCACTGGTAGTACCTTTTCTTGGATGATGGGAGGGTTGCTGTTGGCACCGCCCTCCTTCATACCAACACCAATGTACGGAGGAGAGGAATGGGAGCATGACAGATTAATTTGCTTTCTCCTGAGTCTTGCTGAGCCAGTGAAGTGACCCCAGGACTGGCGGGGGGGACTCTGGCTGTGTGAGTAGTCTGCACTTGGATCCCTAAAACCCACCGTCGCCCTGCCCTTCATCCATGCAGTGTAATCACCTCTCTGGGAGTGAAGCCCTCTCTTGGCATGGCTGAGGAGAAGCAGCTGGATGTCTGACAGGGATGCTGTTTTCCAGGCATGCTGGAACCTGTGGGTTCCTGAGCTTGAGCCCAAGTTCTGACATGTTGTGGCTGTGCCAGACCCAGGAATGGCTTCCAATGTGCAGGGAGACCTTGCTCTGTGCCACAGGAGGCACCGGCTGAGCAGTGGGGGAGCCCAACCATCCTTCCTTCATGGGATCTGCCAGAGGCTCTTGGATGGCTCGTGCCAGCTGCTGGCTGGGAGCTTGGGCTTGAGGGGCTGCTGTGGGCTCCTTGGGATGACTCCCCAGTTCTCCTCTCCACCAGCTGGTCATGCCTTGGTCTGGTGCAACTCCAGCTCAGAACTTGGTGTTGTCAGTGGCAGCTGGTGAGGAGCAGTGGGAGCGTTGGAAGCATTGGGTCTTTGCTGCAGGATGGTTGCTCCTCTC